CGTGTGAGACGGCTTGACGGTAATCTCCACGGGTGCAGTCATCTTTGTGCAAAATTGTATGGACCGGGAAATGCTTGCTATTTGCACGGATCGTACCACAACCAAAGAAACCCTTTAATCGCAGCTCCTGAAGCAGCTGCACCGATATGTAATAGTTGCCCATGTTGACAATGCGATTAGTTCCAAACAGTGGTATCGTCATTTCTAGAACGTGTTGGCTGATTTTGGAGACATCCTTCAGCTCTTCCCTCAAGTAAGGTGCTTCCGATGGATGAACCACACCACTAAGTCGGTCTAGAATGTAGTCCAATTGCAATGGAGCATTTAGTTCAACGCGATCCATGACGTATAGCTGCACATCATATAGAGCCGGAAGTGGTACATCCCAATCGGCTTCATGAGGTTATACACAATAATGTGATGGTCTTGGCGCGACCGGCAGTCAACGCTGGCCTCATCGAGAGCACCATTGCGCATTACGTGTATATACTGGCCTCCCGTAATATTTAGCAAGTTGAGGAGTGGCCGGATGCGTTCTGCCCAGTCCTTCTTGAGAGCCTTAGGGACAACATTGAAGCATAGACACCGACGCAACAGTTTGAATCGATGGAGGGTCATGATACCATCGAGCGACAGACCCCCAATGGCATCTGCTAATCAGAGTTATAGAGAAGATCGTTAAGTTACTCTCTGACGCAAACTCCCCTAAAACGACCAGTAAATCGTACCTTCTAAAAATAGTAATACTATTGCATGAGATTTCTCGTTTCACACTTCAATTTGGAAAACGTCTTGGCCAGTAAGCGTTGGATATGAGGCGTTCTATTTTGCTCCTATTCATCTGTTGTGGCTCTAATTGTTTTCTCTCTGTATGTAGGCCGTCGACATGTAGTTTAAACTGACTAAGCGGCGTGGTAGCGCCGCCAGAAAGAGACTTGCCTCAAGAGCGACGAGCGCAACGTTTTATTGGTGTGAGATTATTCAATGTAAGCTTCGACTGAGATTCCTCGCCCTAACACGCCTTGCTTTTTGTACAGACCTGCGTTATATCCCATGAACAGCTCTACTATTCTACGTCGACGCGCCAACTGGTAATCGTGTTTATGTACGTTTGTCGTGTGAGCTCGTGGCGATGCCGTTCTTATTTCTTATAATGTGATGATCTTGTATCATGGCCCTAATTGTGCTATTATATGGCTGTGTAGCTGGACTAAACACTTGTACAGACTATCAAGCAGTTTGAGGAGGGGCGTGTCCATATGTAGCTGCTGAAGGCAAGGGAAGGTATTAAATAAGCTAATAGTGTCATCCAAGCTCAATTACTTGTTGTGTTAATCTTTTTTTAATGTCGTACAGAATATGGCATCTACTGCAGCATCTCAAGCGACGACAATTGTTGAAATCGCAGGGCACACGAAGCAAAACGGTATAGTAACTGCACGCAAAGGATTTATTGGAAAACAGACACGTGGAGGAAAAATCAAGAAGCTTATGATCACCATTAGATGATGGATTCGAAGTTCTTCGTACACCACGAATTTAGAAGAGGTACAACATTCTTGACAAAAGCACGGTGGAATGCAGTTCTCGTGAAATTTGCTTCAGTGGTCTCCCACGCAGCAAAGTCACTATGGTGCACGGCATCAAAAATCGATCGACGTTTGCCAAGCGAGAATGGAAGCTTAACAACGCACTTGGTATTGCGTGCTAACCAACCAAAGCGACGGTAACGCATGACAGCCAACCTTGACGTCCATTAATAAAAATTTAGCTGACGAGGTTTCAAGTAAATTGCCTGAAGCTTCGTTTTGTAATTGGCACTCTATTCATATAAAAAAAAGGGTTTCTTTACAACGAAAATCGTAAAAACAAGTAAAATATGTTCTTACCTCGAGAGGGACGCTTTCTCTTGCTGCCTAAGTGATTACTTTGTTGGTGAGCCCCAAATCAAAATGAAGAGCGCGGCAAATTGTAAACAGGGCAACATTCTTCATGTCTGGATAGTCGTCACGGAGAAAGACTTGATGCTCCTTCAGACAAAACATCGGATGGCTTATCCAGTAGTTTGCAACAGCAGGTAAGACTGGTAGTGACCACCGTGCTGTTTTAGACGGCGGTTTATCCTCTTGTACAACTCCTTTCTCCAGAAATAAGCTGT